ATCCCTTTTATGTTCATGTGTTTGATATAAAAATAATAAGAATTAAGTAAGAAATATTTATTTATTTACGAGGGAGGACTTAACTCAGAATCTAACTCTGAGGCCTACGTATCCTGTGATGGGGATCAAAGTCCACTAGTTCGGGCTTAAAAGCTTGTTGGTGAAAATATTTTGAAGAAAAATTAATTAGAAATAATTTACCATTTTGCAAATAAAATAATTTCTGAAATTTTGATATATGTGTTTTAATGGAAAAAGTAATTTAATTTTAATTATTTTTCTTAATTTTTGAATTTTGGGAATAAAGAAAGACAAGAGTTTTAAATTATTATTTTTTATGTTTTATGTTTGGGAATTTTAACTGCTATACCTACAGAGTCTTATTGGTTTATATAATAATGTAATTATTCTAAATATCTGCAGAGATTCTAAAATCTCAAATGATAAAAGAATTTAGTAACTTAAGATATTTTTAAGCATATGTATATGTTTTTTAAGAATCTTAATCGTCATACCTGCAAAGCCTTATTGATTTATATGGTAATATGATTATCTTAAATATCCGCAGAGATTTCAAAATATCACACCATAAAGGAATTTAATTTATTTAAATACATCCTTAATTTGATTAATTTAATATATAATTATATATATATATATATATATTTAAAAACTTAATCATTATATCTGTAAAGTCTTATTGACTCATACGATAATACGATTATCTTAGGAGTCTACAGAAATTTAAAAATCTCACATAACTAAAAGATATAATTAATAAATATGATTATAATTTAAATACATTAATTTGATTAATTAATTTTCTAAATTGTGTATTACTTGATTATTTTCTAAAATCATTTATTTATTATAAAAATTGATAATCACTATATCTGTGAGGACTTATTATCCCCACAATGATATGATTAATTTAAGTCTCTACGAAGATTCTTGAAATCTCATATGAGACTTAAATAAATTATTAATTTAGATTATAAAAGGAGAGTTAATTTTAACATATAAGTTTTGCTCTCGTATCTATGAAATCTTATTGATTTACACAACACGAAATTATCCTGAATATCTGCAGAATTCAAAGTCACACAATAAAAGGATTAAATAATATTCACTTTGAATATATTTTAATGTGTAATTATATAACACATATTTTTTTATATAGAAATCCTAATCGTTATATCTACAAAGTCTTATTGACTCACGCGGTAGTACGATTATCTTAAAGGTCTATGGAGTTTCAAAAATCTCACATGATCAAAAGATATAATTGATAAATATAATTATAATTTAAATTCATTAATTTAATTAATTAAAATTATAAAAATGTTTTTATTTTATTTATAAAATTCATTTATTTATTTACCATATAAATTGTGAATCACGATATCTGTGAGGATTTACTATCCTACATGATAAGGCAATTAATTTAATTCTCTATGAAGATTCTTAAAAATCTCACGTGAGATTTAAATATTTATTATAAAAAAATTAATTTTAATAATGGTCTCTAGAATCCATATTAATATACAACATTAGTTTTCATACCTATAAATCTTATTGATTTACACAATAGAGGATCATTCTAAATGCCTATGGAGATTCTTAAAATCTCACACAAAATAGGTAATCAAGATATTTGCATTTGCAGGCAATGCATAATATGAATTTAACATTTAAAGGAATAGAGAAAGAAACTATTTTGACACTTCACCTCTTCTTTTAACTTAAGGATGTATTCTTTAAGGTTTTTTTTAAAAAAATTGGCCTAATGCTCAAATATGGTTTTTTGAAAGGAAATAATGATAGTCGTAGTTATAGCATCTGACAATTAAATAAACAGGATTCATATATCATCACCATCATTAATCACCTAATTTATTTCTCATGAAAATTAAAATCAAGTTGATGTCTTAAAATTATTTGTGCGTGAATAAATAATAGTCCCATATTAAACATATGCATGCTCTTAATTTTTTCAAAATAATATGATTATTTGAATGAATAAAGAAAGCATATGAAATTTTTGAAAGAACTACAAAATTTTAAACAAGAAAGAGCCAAATCAAAGCTATGACATAATTGTGCATGTAAAAGATAACTTATGAAGAATGGAACAAAATTATACCTGACATTGCATTAAGTAGCCTCCATGAAAGGTACTTGATAATGCGGTTGAAGCTTGAGTTGCTTCCATAACCTTCTCTATCACGAACTGCCCCAATATAAGAACTTCAAGAATCTTTCTCCCACCCTATGAAATCACGAAACGAGGTTTGATCCAACACCAATGAAAATGTAAGAAAGCCACAAAGCAAAGTTACGTTCCTCGCTTCAACTGAAAGAAGTGATTTGTGATGAACTTCTACTTACAGATTTTGAAGAGTAAAAGAACAGAATAACATTGTGATGACCAGATTTTACGTGAGAACGAGTCATCAACTCAGTTAGAACTCGGAAGCTCAACTCAGTTGGAACTCGGAAGCTGGAAGTGAGAGTATGTAGAAAAGATGAGATATCAGTGGTGCTGTCCAGTTTCTATTATTTCTCCGTTCTAGTTTTCTCTCTCTCTTCTCTTTGGTCCTCTCTCTTTTTCTGTGTTGTTTCCTCTCTCTCCTCGTGTTCTTTCTTTCCTCCTCTTCTTGGTGCTCTATTTCTCGTGCTCCAGTTTCTTTTGTTCTCCCTCGGTCCTTTCTCGCTCTCTGTCTCCCGCTCAAACGCCCCCGCTCTCTCTCTTTTCCATTTTATTGTGCTCTCTTTTTCTACTTCACCGTCGAGTTTTTTTCTGCTATCCTCCTTCTCTCTTCTGCTCTCTCTCCTTTCTCATCTGTGCTCTCTCTTTCCTCCATGCTGCGTCTATTTTCCTTCTTTTTTCCGTCTCTTGCTGCTCTTTTTTTCATTTTTGTCTAGTTTTTGGTCAGGTCTTTCGCGTCTCTCGTCTCGTCTCTGTTTTTTGTTTTTTTTTTGGTCTCTCTCCCTCTCCTCTTTTTCTGCTCTGTTTCTCATCCATTTTCACTTATGCTCTTTTTTCTTTCACTTCTTTTTCTTCCATTCTCATTCCCATGTTCTTTTTTTTTCTTCACTCTTTTTCCGTTTTGAGTTCGGATCCCTCCTTTTGTGCTCTATTTTCGTGCTCTCTCTATAACGTGCCTCTGTTTCTTCTTTCAGTTCCTCTCCCCCGTCTCTTCTTTTCTCGCTCTCTTCTTATGCTCTCTCCTTTTTATTCTCTCTCTCTCTTCTTTTCTACTACCATCCGCATACGTGCATCTCCAGCTCTGTTTTTCTTTGCTTTTTCGTACGTGCATGCGCTTCTTTTTCTGCATACATCTCTGACTCCTTTTCTTTGCGTGTGTGCGTGCTATGTTTCTTCTCTTTTCTCTGCATGACCGAGCACTTTCATCGTCTAATCTTTTCTGCGTTTTCTCTAGTGTTTACACGCGTTTCTCTATGAAGCTTTTCTGCAGTCTGTGTTTTCGTGAGTGTGCTTTGGTTCTGTTCTTCTGTCTCGTCTTTGTTTGCTACATAACCGAAGCTTTGGGCTCTGCCTTCATATCTTCTTTTTCTGCTCTTTGCTTCTGGCTAATCTTGTGTCTGGTGCTCATTTTCTTTCTACGTTATTGCTCCGTGTGTATCAGCTGGCACCTGAACCGCATAACTTGTGATGAAACACTTCAATCAACGTTTCATCCAGGCTTGTGAGATAGATATTATATATAATATTATATGTAATGTATATATGAAAAATAATATTAAAGCGAGAAAGAGTAACTCTTAAAAGTTGACTCCCATATTTTTTAAATGATTGAGATAATTTGGAGAGAGATTTTAAAAATTTAAGCAAGATTTTAATTTTTTTTGAAAATATAATCCTCAAAAAGAGGATACAATTGTATTTTTGTATTTTTATTTTTTTGTTATTTTTAATGAAACCTAAAAGAAATAAGTTGGAGGGAAGTCCTGCGCTTGTGCAAAAAGGAAGCGGGAGGTTGAGAATAAAATAACCCTGCGTTATTTTTTTTTGGAAAAGATAATTCCTAAAAAAGATGGTAAAGTTTGGTTTGGAGGTGGTTGGGTTGGTTATAGGACTTTGGTTGTGGTTTATTATGCTTTATTTTTATTAAATTGGATAAAATTGTTCAAACAGATAAAATGTGTGACGTGTTCACACCACTCTAAGTTTCGTCCTGACCCACTTTTTGATGAATAGAAGCTCAAGTTCTTTCAAAAACCAAGCCCTTCTATCACTCCTCTTAAATGGTGTGAAGGAACCCTAGAGGGACGTGCAAGAACACCATCTTTGGAGGAGAAGAAAATGAAGTTGGAGGGGATGGCTGTGGGCTCCACGCGGGACTTTGCGTCCAACACAGGAAGCGGAGACTTGCTTGTGAGTCAGCGATATAACGTGAGTGCACAGACAGAGCCAATGACGGCGACAAAGTAAGTAGAGTGAATAATGTTTAATCATGCTTTATTTAGTCACTTTTTATGTGATGGGCCCAACAAAATTTGGCCCATTTCATGTGTCCACCTCCATGAACAAAGCCAGGACAACCATCAACAATACAACCATTTTGCAACCCAATTTTTGGTTCCTCCGTGTTCAATTCTTATTATGCCTTTACTATATTATTCGTTTTGTTTCTTTTGTAATTTTGATATATTTTACATTCAAAGTAAATTATTTTCTCTTTGAAAGTGAAACATATATTCTTCGTGATACAATATGAATATCTAAAATCACATACCTTTTTACTAATAAATAATGATGGGAAAAACTATATACCTTTTCTTTTTTTTTGGCACCAATGAACTCATGTCATATTTGGGATATATTCAATGAGAGAATTTTTAAATCCCACAAGTGATCTATAAATTTAAGACGATGGGATTGTTAAGAACTATGTCTCTGATGTTGAGCACCTCATCAGGCATCTCCTTTGCATGAATCACATCCTCTTTTTTGTAAATCAAGTGAAGTGATCTGCTCATTTTCCAGTACACATCTTTCGCTTCTCTTGACATTTTGCTTCCTTCTCCTTCAACACTAATCTCAGCAGCTCCTTTCTCTTCTCCTCAATCTTCCTCTTTATCTTCTCCATGATCTCTTCTTCACTCTCTACCCCACACCCATGAATCAACCGCAAGCTTATTGAGTTGATAAATTTCCCTTGTTCTTTTTCCTCTGCACGAACATCCACAATTTTATTCAATTATTACTGTGTCACAAACTCACGGTAATAATTAAAAATAGTTAAGAGGAAGGAAAAGATTCACCACCTGGTATCCATTGATATCATTAAGATAACGCCCATAAAGACTAACAATCTCAAAGAGATTATTGTATTCATCACTTTCCACGACAGCTTGTGGAATCTTGGGTCCAAGAAGATACATTACAGGGATAATTATTGGTCCCAAGGCCATTGATAATTCCATTATGCTCATATTCTTCTACACTTGGCACGCACCTGTTTCTGCACCATTCTGCTTCCTTCAACTCAGACCGCAGCAAATCTATGTCTGATCAACAAACATGTATATAATATATATATATATATACTGCATACTTCATTTAGGGTAATGATTGAATTAAGAAGACCAAGTTGAGACTTAGATAATTGTGATCTTACAATCTGAATCAAGTGGTTCAACACACTACGTCCTTGAACTTTATATGCTTGGGTTGCAGTCTCACAAATTGTTTTCTTAAGTGTTACGAATATTATCTTCACCGTGTCGGAGCAACTTTCTCTACTGACATCTACGTCCCACCTGAAGTTCAATGTTGAAAACATATAATCTCATATATATATATATAATGTGCAAAGAGAGAACATCATAAATGGGTTCATCATTGCAAAATAATACTTTTCCATCAACTGTATAAGGTTTATGTGTTCCTCTTTCAGTCCCCAAACGTCATAGAAATCATCGACCACACATCCAAGCAAGCTTTGTTTTGGCCCATGCCAGACGTGCTTCGCGATGTTCAGGGGAGGGTAAGTGTGGCAGCGACTGTCAAGAAGGGAAAGAGGCAGCTTTTGTTTTTGAGATTGGAAAATGTAGTTTCTCCATTCCACTCTCCATAAACCACCTAATTGTTATCATTTACTTATCAGTGATTCACAAACTGGCATTGAACAATGTTTAAAGATGTAATAAACATTTTGGGTTCTTGAGAAAGATCCTAACTTGTTAAACAGATCGAGTTCTTCACGAAATAACAATTGGGAGTGATTGAAATCCTCTGCTCCCAATTCTGGGAATTCTTTGTTAGCGAGGTTCATAGAACTGAACAAAAAGAGCCATAATATATATACGAAGTCAAAAATTATACTAATTCAAGAAGCTCCCATAAAAAATGGAGCTAATTGTGGTCCATATTATAATGTATGTACCTATATGAAGATTTCAAAATTCTTTTTGATCAACCTGGTAATGCTCTATAGATCTTCGTTAACTATCAAATCCAAATAAGCATGATGAGGAAAACGCAGAGCTAAATGTACCTGAAATTAATATAGGAAATTATTTTTTAGGTCAATTGTCAAAAATAACTTAAAATTGTTGAAATTTGAAAACAAAATTAAATTTGTGAGATTAAGATGTGCGTGTGGACACCCTCATTGTCAATACGATTAGAAGCTGGCTTATAAGTATTTCTTGAGGAAGTGGATAAATATTCCTCAAGAAAGTGTCCTGTCCAAAGGTTTAATTCTTCCAAAACTAAATCACTTGAATGCAATACTATATGTGAAGCTTTATGTAACTCCAAAACAGCCTCAACATCCTTTAAATAACCCTGAACGGTATTGTAAAATTTGTCTTCTGAAAAGCGACCAAGTATGTCTGAAATAAACATATATGAGAGTTAGCCAATTATTTTATTATTGGGAGAATAACAGTAAAGTCTTAAAAGAATAAACTATTGATATTTAGGTTTTAACAATTCTTTTTAAAAATGGTTATAAATATGATTCAAATAATTGTAGAGATAAAAATCTCAATTGCAAATTGAGAGTTACATTTAGAATTTAAATGTTTTATTTATAACTAAAACTCTTGTGTAATTATTTAAATTGAAATTTGCAATTTATTTTTTAAAAAATTCATCAAAGATCTAACTATCATTATTTCTTCTTTTTAGATATTAACTGCCATTCTTTATTTATCATTTCATATACACATAATTTTATTTTTTATTAAAAAAAGACACAAACCTGAAGAAACATCATATCCTTGCAAACGTAGTAAACGAAAGGCCAAGGCACATGTTGTGGGTTCTAAAAATATATCATCTTCCTGTTGCCACAATCTATTTCAAAATCAAAATTGAAAAACAGATTAAATTCTGCAACCCATTTTCTTATTTTCCCACAGTAAAAAAAAATTCAATTTCAAGCCTTTCACTCACAGAAAGAAAAAATATGAATAGTTAAACTTACCTCCATGTCTCGTCCAATACACTTTGGATTTCCTCCTTAAAATGGCGATTAATCCCCAATTTTTCGAGACTATCAACCACATGGAGTCGAGCATACACATCAAAAGGATGTACTGTTGGAACTGAAAAAGTTATAAATTTTTGTATAAACACAACACACATATATCAGTCTTAAAAATTGTTATGCATAAGAAATCATGTCCATCAAAGGTTTAAAATTACCAGCATCCCCAAATTTATCTGAGAGAGATAGTAGATAATCGAGACCCTGGGTATTGTTAATGTGAATAAAAGCTGCTGCTGTAGTGGCTGGTGAGTTAAATAAAGATCCATTCTTTCTCTGAAATTTCATAGCCATTTCCCAATTCTGGGACTTCCCAAGTCCTTCTGAAATGTATGCTACATATGCTTTCCATCCTTCTGATTTGCTTCCCCACCCACTACAATTACAGTGTATATATGCTTATCTTTCAGATTTTTAAATGGAAAAAGAAATTTGTAAATGGGATGAAAAAAGATAGACACCATTTTTTAATCTCTTTATGCCCTTGGAATGGTTTTATTATCCAAAAGGTTAAAAGAATTGAATTTGTTATCTCTCTTCCAAGCATGAGACACTGCAGGATCTGATATATGTTAAAGAAGCATTCTGTGCACCAGGATGAAATTAAAATGATACCTTTGGAGTTCCGATTCCCTCTTTTGAATGAAATTCTCTGAAAATTCCCTCCAAGAGGAAGATTTAGATCCAAACTTCTGGTTTGATCAATTAAATGAGAAAAGATAATACAAATCCAATTGAGGAAATTGCTTATCATCATGAGCTGCAGCAATGTTTGATGATCAATATATCCAAGTCCTTCAACAAAAGAGAATGTCCCAATTATTTCACTGCATAGGCTTCTTCAAATCAGACAAGCATCATATCTTATTCATATACATACATATATCAATACTGCATTGATTTGTCGTTCACCAGCACCCCATTGCTTAAGTGCAACAACACAAGCCAATGATGATAGAAGGGAGTCTTTGGTCAACAACTCATCACGATTAGGAAGACCCCATGATCCATCCTTTTGTTGATTCTCTAATAACCATTTTAGGGACTTAGGGAATAAAGGAGTTTGCAGAGAAGAAGGTGATGGTATCATTGCCATCCAAGCTGTATCATAACAAGATACAGACAATTCAACTTTATTAAGCATCTTCTTTATTCTCTCTTTATTCATCTCTGATACCTGCATTTAATGTAATTCACCATCTTATTATTATTGTTGTTTTATAAATAATTGTTATATATTAGAATTAATTAGATCTACTTGGAGATACAGAAATTGAAGGATGATATGTTATACATCATTGTTAGGTCTGCTCTGAACTTTGTCCTTTGCATTGGATCCATCTAAAGTTGCTGGTGGAAATGTAAAAGTACAAGAAACATTAGGCTTCCTTAATGGTGATGCAAAAAAAAAAAAAAAAGCACACACAAACACCACTTACAGTGATCTTCTCAACTTGAAGATTAATTTAATTAATTCAAATATATGCTTGTGCGAATGTGAAAGAAGAGTCATTTCAGATATATATATCATGCATGCATCTAAATCCTGCAACAGTCAACATTTTCTGTATAAACCATGAACAATTCGACTCATTTCAAATCCAGTAAAAACAAAATGGGCCTAAAATCTACCTGGTCACCTAAGGGAGGGTTTTCATGATGATTTAACTTATAAATTATAAACAAGAATGTCTATAGCATGAATTATTTTTTTTTTTTATTCCTACCTTTGATTTATTTGGGAATCAAAATATTACCCCAGTAATAATTCAACGAAGATTTGGAAATGAAATATTTTTAAAACTTAAACGTATTAATTAAATCAATCATAAAAATACACTCCCTCCGGTCCTATATTCTAGTCCCTTTTAACAATTTCACCAAAACCATGAGATGCATTGATTCAATCCCTCAAATTAATTTTATCGATTTGATCCTTTATATTTTTTTTAAAATTATCATATAAGTTCTTGAAATTTTAAAACACAAATTAATTCTCGAAATAATCTAATTTGTAAATTAAAGTATTTTGATAACCTTACATGTATAATATGTAGTTAATGAAAACAAATTAACCCTCAAATTAATTAATTTTTATTAATATATAATCACTTTCAATGTGTGTTTATTCTCTTGTATTTTAAAATTTTAGAGCCTCTGGTTTTTTTGCCTAAATAATTATACTTTTTTTCATTAATATACATAGCTACCATTAATATTCTATTATCCATGTCAATAAATTTTAATAGTATTACTTTTTTTT